GAAATTTACGTAATGATTAGAAAAGCTTCTTCTTAGTTTGAACATAGAAATACTCGAAAAAATTTAGGAACAAAACGCGTATTCGATCTTGCATCTTTCATTAGCTGTCACATGCGGAAACTGCTCCCATTTGCAATAGTAAAGTTTTTTGGATTGCTTTTCAAAATTCTTACTATCAATCAAAGTAAAGTTTTCATCACTGACACTCCCACATATAACGTAGCATATTAGGTAGTTTTATATGATGATTAGCTCACCCGCACTCTATTCATAGTCCCCACGCGTTTCGCTCTCTTGTAGTATAACTGCTTATTCTCAATCTATTTGAAACAATGAAGAAACAATTTTTACGAATTGAAAAGTCCTGGTGTTCCCTTGATTTTTCCTAATTTGCGTAGCGAACTATGACAAATTCCTCGGAAACTGTGTATCACTAGTGCGGTGTGAAAACGCAATGACTCGCTTGATTTATTCGACAGTTCCGAATAGTTCGTTTTTGCAGATCAAAAGAGCTGCTCTCAATGAACTGATTGATCACATCACAACTACTAAAGGTGCCATCGTCGAGTCAATCTATCCAGAGGTAAAGCTTTTGCGAACCTACACATTCATCATAAATATGTTGACCTTATCATAGGCAGGCACGAAAAACTTCTTTTGAGCAAAGTTAACTTCAGTAAAATGGAGGGCCGTTGGGGCAAATATTTACATCTGTTTTTTCTCGTTAGTCAGCCGACTTTTATTGATATGTGTCAACATCTGCAAATGCTAAGTTTTCTGTTTGCCCATTGTATCAGCAACTGATGTTAATAAAAATGGGACTTTGCCGCCTCATTTAAGGAGGGGGGAGTTGTTTTTTGCCACTTCTTTTGTGGTGAGCCTATGTAATATTTTAGTCTCTGATGGATCTTAGCTTTTGCACTTTTTACAAGTGTGCTCTTGCATATTGATCAGTGGTTTTAGGTGATAAAAATGGTGTCAAAGAACATCTTCCGTGTGCTACCTCCATCGGACAATTCTGAGTTTGATCCTGAAGAGGACGAGCCTACTCTCGAAGTTTCTTGGCCGCATTTGCAGGTTGGAAACTTATAGTATATTTTGAGCGATTTCCATGGTCTTTGCACTAGTTTTACTTGGTTTTACATCCATTTTTCAACAGCTGGTCTACGAATTGTTTCTGCGATTTTTGGAGTCTCCAGATTTCCAAGCATCTATCGGAAAGAAGTACATTGATCAACGCTTTGTGTTGAACGTAAGCATAGTGTATATAGGTCTGTTGTTCGAAAATTACCTCTGCTATGTTCTAGTTACTTGATCTATTCGATTCTGAAGATCCGCGAGAACGCGATTTCTTGAAAACAGTCCTGCATCGCATCTATGGCAAGTTCCTAGGACTTCGCGCATTCATCCGCAAGCAAATCAATAACATGTT